TAACAACAGAGGTTACTTATAAACTCTGCCATTCACATATGACCTGAGGAGCTCATAAAAGTATATTGCTGATTTTCTGAAAGGCTGCATGTCAAATATGTCAGCTTTAATTGGCATCAACTGGATTTGTATCATTGCAAGTGAGTTTTATATATAAACAAAATGATGCAGAGGACAAAACACTAATATAGCGCTTCTTCTTCAGTAATAACATACCGTAGGCTCTATTACAGTACAATCAGATACAGAGACATTGGATAGTTGCCTTAATGTACAGCGGTGCAATTACAGTACGTGCAAAATGCATTTCCACTCACATCTGTTGTCCGATTACTACCCCCCCCACACCCAAACTGCCCTATTCCAGTCTGCACTGAACTGCTGCTGAGCACTTCCATCAATATCTCATGATTGTTCTAACAAATACATTGCTAAATTTAGTCTATGTAAATGGAATGGGCTCAAGTACTTCAAAAATAATATATATCCCTTCATCTGTTTGCATTCTATGCAATAATATTCATATTATTTGCATTTTATTGTTAGGCGGAAAGTCTAAATGGCATACTCTTTTGACAGCAGTTTATAAATGGTAAAAAGTGTTTTGAATTCCTTAAATAACAATGTTCAGCAAAGGGTCAGAGAAAGGCTGATTTATTCAATAAGCTAGTCTTGTGCACGTTTTCTCAGACATACACCCCTGCTTACAAATGACTGTCTTATTTCAGATTGCATTCTTATTTCCTTTCAGGTAAGTGTTCCTTTAAGGAAGGCTTTTCTGTTCTATTCTCAGTGCTTGTGCTTTATTCCTTATCCTTGGTGAAAAATAAAAGTTTTAATGCCACCGTGTTTCACTGTCAAATAATATTTTGGAACACAGGTGGCTTTTATCTTGAGGGTTAGAGATGGTACTGGAGCAAGGTGATGATTTAACAAAGCTGTTTCACGTTAGGTGTTCTTACTGTGGATGAGTGAGTGGGCCTGGTGAGTTGTGGGACCAGTGTACAATGGAGTGCTAAAACAACAAGGACAGGCTTGCTTTAGTAAAAGAGCTGCTCCAGAGCCCTGGAATTGAGTGGGCATGGGGCGAGCTTGATGGTAACATACCAAACGCCCAAGCATGGGAGAGCAGAGGCCCTGAGTTCTTGTTTCGTCCTCTTGTCTTGCACAGGAGGGATCTGGGCAGAATCAGGCATAAGAACTGGCAGGTGCCAGCAGCTACTAACATTTCCCAAGAAAAAAAGTTCTATTGGCTGGCCGCCATCACGCTAGAGAGCCAGCCAATAAAAAGTCCGCAGGCCCTTGCCAAGGGGGAGTTCCCTTCGGCCCTGTGACTCCGGAGCAGCCCCTTCCCGCCCTCGCCTCCCCCCTGCCTCGTCACGTGCTCCTCTGCTCATGCTGGCATTCCTTCGCCTCTGTGCACAGACTGGCAGCGCTGCCTGGGCACAGGGGAAGCTCCATGGCAGTGTTCACCCCTCTGGCTGCCATGTGGCTCCACACTGCTGGAAAGGCTGACTGTACGTGCTGCGAGGAGCGATCAGATGCGGCGAACTTTGGAAGGTTCCCAGGCTCTATCTACCTCGCGCTAATAAATAAAACACATGCGGACGTTTGATTTAAGGGATAGTAAACATTTTTTTTAAACAAAACACGTTTTGCACACCTGCAAATAAATAAAAAAAAGAAAAGCTGCATTTGACGCGTTAACAGCTACATACATGCCCTTGGTTTGTCCTGCTAGCGTTCAGGCACGGCTCTGATTGGCCCATAGATAGGCCCCAGATTTGACTGTTCTGCTTTTATCTCTGTGCCCTGGTCCAGCATTGCGCTGCGGAGCATTTTAACTTTCAGGGGAAGGAGAAGCACTGCAATGCAGCACAGGCACTGAAGTGAGAAACCACACTGCTCTTCGCTGGGGTGGAGGCATGGAAGGAGGCCAGCAGGGAAGACAGGGGGCTCTGTGTGGCACTGATAGCAGAATCTCAAGTGCACTATCCCACCCAGGCGTCTGGACTCCCTAAACCTGAACCGTTCGGCACTTCAGGTACTGCACAACTGATATCCTTCATTTAGTATTTTGCTTTAAAAATATGGGCTATAAAGGAGAATTCTCCTGTAGCCACTTTGATCTAAATAAAAAGTCTCTGACCCATTAAGTATGAAATATCTTTTGTGTCCTACAGTTTCACACTTTAAGAATATATCCAATAATAAATCAGTGTTCGCAACTTGTCAGAAAACAAGTTTTAGTTTGAAATTCTAATTATTGTAAATATCCAACAGAGAACCCCTAATCATCCCAACCTTTTGAGGTCGTGCTTTGAATTTCTGGGTGAAACCTGTTTTATTCTTTTATTAAATAGTTTGTAAATTGGCCCTCAGATAGGAAAGGCCCCTGAACTTCAGATGTTGTCAAGAGCAAATGGCAGGCAGTTACAGTCCCCAGAAAAGACTGAGCCTTGCGTGTCTTCACCTGATGGCCAAGGCCAGACAACTCCATGGTTTTCAGTGTGCAGCGGAATACTAAAATAGCAAATTCAGATTAAAATATAAATCACATTTATATAATGCGGTATACAAACAAACAGGCTGTGTCAGGGATTACAGAAATGGCCTAGATATAAAACCTGCTTCTGTAATATCTGTTAAGACAAGAAACAAAAAAATTCCCAATTGAAGAATGCCAAAATTCCCCCCTGGTTGTGTAGAGAAATGTATACTGATATATAATACATTTTAAAAGTTTTCTTTTTAATATCATAAAGACCATGAGATTTCAGAAACAAATTATTTAGAGTCTGTACTAACATGCACTCTGTATGCGTACTCTTGATAGTCTGCAGGACACACCCTGGTCCTACACTCTGAACACTGTCAGCTCTTTCAAAGGAAGGTCTGTTTAACTACCAGGTTTCATTGCGGAGTTACTGGTAAAGGATGGAAACTTTGTATAAAAATACACAGAATCAACTCTGAAATTATAAAAGACAAGATGTCAGCAGGAATGAAGTCTCTCTACATGATGCAGACTTCACAGTTAAGTGCACAAGTCCTGCCATTAAAAGCTAAATGATCCTTCATAAACCCATTCCTCCTACTGCATTTCTGCATGGCAAACATTATTTCTTTGTATAATAGCTCATATTGGTGTATTCTGACTTAAGTTACAATAGATGAAGGCAAGTGTTACTGTATCATAAAAGGAGTTCTCCATCTACAGTATTTTGATGTTGAATGCCATGAATTCACGATCTGGTCTCAGTGCATTTGCAAGGGAATAAAGATTTTTTTCCCCCCAACACACAAACTTTATAACAAACTGATGGTGACTGGATGTCTAATATTTCCTAGATAAGCGTTTACAGTCACAGTCTTCAGAGCACTGTAGCATGTAGTAACCTTGACTAAAACTGCACCCAAGCATTAGGTATCTGTCCAGCGGGGAAGACAAGAGACAGGTTATCATTTCATTTCAGTAACATAATAAAAACCGAAACACTGACATTTTTTTCTCCTGAACGTTTCATGACAACCTTAGATCTGCTTTGTTCACTTTTTAGGAACCTAATCTCATGGACATCAGGATATAACAAGGTACGATTTTTTACTTGTGACTGTATAAAAACATCGATCTCAGAATGTGTATGTTCTAATGCAAACCACAAAACACATGGAGCTACAGTACAACTACAAAAAAATGTAGAACCAAACTTGCTTATAGAAACACATAACTTCTTACTTACGAAGTTAAATGGAGGACAATGCACAGACAGCCCATTTAATTGCACTTCAACTTAGGGAAATTACCCAAGCATTCATAGGCAAATGCTATTAACGCACTGTACTTCCAAGCTACACTTAATTTAACCGCCTATCAGGTGCAACCTCAAGAGGCAAACTCTATCTATAATAAGAAGTAGATTTTACCAGCTGGAATCACTAATGCTTTTTCACAATCTATAATTGATCAGCATTTAGAGATGTCTCCTTGAGTAATAAATAATAAACACATGTAACGTGTAGAAGCTCATAGAGGAAATGCAGCAGTTTGGTTGGGGATCTTGAACCACAAGCTGAGAGGAATCTAAAGCTGGCAAGTTAGCAGCACTCACATACATCACGTCCAAGTGCCTCCCATACTCACTTGACCAAACATCCAGGTCACGTCTGAGCACACCTTAATGGCCATATTTTACCACAAGGAAAAATGGGAAAAAGAGAACTGAAACCGCATCCATAAATAAAAGTGCATTAACATAGTTTTCTGCTCCGGTGCCTGGAAAAAGGATACCATTAGAAGGAGGGGCTGCATATTTGTTTCTATCGAAAAGATCCCACTCGCAGAGAACCTTTTGTCTGGGACTTAAATGAGACTCTCAAAGAACAAAGAAAGTCAATGAAACACATTTAACATCCACGGCCTTAGTGCAAAAGGAACGTGATGCAAAATGATACTTTTTTAGAGGTGTGATCGACGTTTATCTTCTAATACCGGACAATTTAGACCATCTCATTGCTAACCTGCTCGGCTCGCTGTGCAGCAGAGGGGATGACAGAGTGTGCGCGCGTCCTCCGAAACGTGCCGTGTCCATCACGCAAACCTTCTCTCACAATCCGAGCTCGGACATCGCATAGGGGACTGATGCAGCATTTTCTGATGATCCTGCCAGTGCTCCAAAAAACTGTGCATTGCCACTTTTTAAAAAAATCCTGGCTCGCAAAAATGTAATTTAAAGACGTTGACCGGGATCAGGCCAGCAGGCTCTGCAATACAGAGGCTGACCTGTTATTGTATCGTGTGGAATAGAGGCCGACTTATGCTCCGCATGGAGATTTTTTGAGTCAACTCAGGAGCCCCAGAAGGGTGTTTGGCTTTCACCCCCTGCTTCAAGTGCGGTTTGATTCTTCTACGCCCACCTCCCCTTGACACAGCTGTGCGACCTGGCACTGTAAGGAAGTGAGCTCTCTCACACAGGAAGTGAGAGAAAAGGAGGACCTACCTGTGCCTGATAGAGGCTCCCAGGGTCCCGAGGTCCTATTCCCACAAAGGAACGGTTGGCAGGGGGCGTCCCCGGGGCGGAGTACGCTGAGAAAGGGGAGAGAAAAACTCTCAGACAAAACGCTCATCTAAACCAATGCAAAGTAATTCAGGGCCGTGGCAGTAACACAGTTCTCATCTTCTCCCCAAACGCACACAGAATGTTTTATGAGACATAAAGAGAATTTAGCTTTGGACTTGAGCCTCGGCACGATAACAAATCATCGGTTATGGCCTAAACGGCTTCAGGCTCGTCCTTGAATTGTAAAAATGAGGAGCACTGATTTTGGAACTACAGATTCATGGACAAGCTTGTGAGGATGTGATGTGGAACATGCAGTTTTTATTTCCTTGTTTTTCTGTGGAACTGGGTGCTCGCACAGTCAGGCTCAGAAGATTCAACCAGAGTTACAAACAGGGCCTTGAAAAGAAATGTTACTGAAATCCACACAGCATTACAGGTAAGTAAATGTCATTTCAATGATTAACGGCACAGGGATATCAGTGGGTGAATGTAACTGTAGGGGAAAGAGGTTGGTCTTCATGTGTAGTGACATTCAAGTGCCACAGGATTGCTACCCTGAAGCGCATGTCATAGTAGCTGAGGTATTCTCCCCCAAATGTCTTCAAAGATACAAGTGTTGCTCTCAGTTTTCTTCTGCAGTTATTTTTTAACACCCATGTTGCACGAAATACAGTCAACAGCTACGAGGAGACCCAAATTCAGTATTCAAAATCCTCAAAGGCATGAACGTGATCAAAGCAGTGAACACCTTCTGATGCAGCAAAACAGTGAAACATGAACTACAGCTCACAGTTGGAATACGAAGAGAAGCGGATTCAGAACTGAAATCAAGAGGCAGTTTTTTCACAGGGGGTTGTGGGAGTCTGGAACGAGCTACTCAGACATGTTGTGGATACTGTCACACTGGTTTCCTTCAGGAAGAGGCCGGATGAGATTTTTGGATCACTTAGCTACGACCAACTAAATGATGTGGTTGGAGGAATGAGCTCTCCTCATTTGTAACCTTTGTGTTCCCCATCAGTTACACCACCAGCAACACAATTACTGGTAAAAGGCTGCAAAGGACAAAGAGCTAATTACAGATAGACAATTACTTTATTTAAGTGATATTCGTATTTGGCACTGATACTCTCACTATTGCAGCAGATAAAATCAGGGCTTGATTTTTCTGAAGACAGTTTCTGTTATTAGTTTTGGCTGCAGCCTTTATTTGAGGGAATTTACATCCATATTCATTTATACAGCTGAGTTTTACTAGAACAATGTGAGCTAAGTACCACACTCCAACGTATAACAGCAATAGAGTACCTCTATTTGAATTTGAATAGAGTACCTCTATCCAGAATTTGAAGTCGCAACATTTCAGTTACAAATCCAGAGCCTTCACCACCACTCCACACTGTTTTGCTACAAAAAGTAATGCTCAAATGTTGATTGCTCATATTAAATGCAGCCCCACAAGTGATGCACAAGAAATGGGCAGGTTTCCTAGGACTCCTATAGTGTTTGCTGCAGTATCTTGTACTTGGCACTGATCTAAGCAGGTCGTTTGTTTTCCACTGTATCTCTCTTCAAAACAATGTCCGCCTGTGAAAAGCTAATTCACAGAATGTCTGGTATCTGCTATTTTCTTTTTCCTTTTCTCTGAGCTGACAGATATCTCTGATTAAGGTGAACTTCAGTCCAACAGTACACCGCGACTGTAAGAGCCCGGCCTCGCTGTTTATTTATAGAACGAAAACAGGCCAGCCTTCACATGCCAGCCTGCTGCTCTGGATTTACCCACTGGCCCCACATAATGGATTCATAAAGCATTTCTTCTCGTGCCAAAACAAATAAAAGAAATAACAGTGTGATTATAAAGACAGGAGATCATGTTGAAAACCTAACTAAAGCACGCTTTTTGAAAAAACACAATAGAATGCATAGGGATATCAAAACACAACCATTGTAATGTGCAGCCAGTGAAATACAATACAGCCCTTAAAGAAGTGATGCACTGTATATTCCATACCTATAGTTTGATGTGCTGATGAACAGGTCATCAGAGCTAGCAGGGTTGAATTGGCCCTGTGCTTTACTTACAGTACATACAAGTGTAAACCTGATGTGGCAGAGGGCAGAAGAGTTTGAAAACAAGACGAGCACATCTGGTTTTATTTTGATAAAGACAGAGATGCATACTGTACATGTGATCTGCTTTTGCTTCCTTGCTTCAGCTGAATTGAATTGCGTTTTCCTTCTGATGTTACTAACTTTTGGGATCACCTATAATGTGTGACTGACTTTAAAAGAAAGCATTTGGCTTGAGGAACCACAAAAAGATCAGAATTTCTGACGTATCGATGCCTAAACACACTCCATAATAGGAAAATACTACAGAAGATATTACTGGATTTTATCCCAAAAATTGCTGAAAGAAAAGCATGCTTATCTTGAGGAATAAGCTACAGAGAAAAGTAACCATGAAACCTGATACCACCTACACAGCTTCTGTGCCAGTGCTTGTAAAAGTATTACAAGATCAGAGTATAACTTGGAACAGCAGTTGGTTAGTTTTCTGCTTTCTAACTTCTCTAAATGTGTATTCAGCTACGAAACATATTCTAATCTTGTGAATTTAGCATCTTCAGGAATACTGGATTTTGCAACGGGCTGATACTCAAGACAGTGCTAAGTGATTGTGGATTACCAGCCATCTGCTTAAACACTTCAGTAAGATCTGTTGTCATAGTAAATTACATGAATAGCAAACAGGGATTTTGTCTTAACGCAAGCAGAGGGGCAGACTGCTGAAATAATAGCTTGTTATGTAAATCAAGCCTCATTAATAAAATACATGTCTAATCCCTTGTAAATTGAATTAGCTGCTGTGCCAGATAATTAACAAGGCTATTGCACACTAATACATCTTCCCAGGGATTTACATCTTCATTTTAAACCACATTTTGTATACTAACGATCGTGTAATACTAGGGTGCAGATAGGTATAGCACCTTTCCCCCATTATAAAATCCCCATCCAAAAAGAGAAAACGTCACAAGATCTTGGATATTTTCACAAAGTAGCAATAGGCTTTGTCAGTAACTCACTGGGAACACGTAAAATTTGTAGACTGCACAGTGTTGGCCCTTGGCTTAACAAAAGAATGAGTACAGTATTTTATTTTGTTAAAAGTGGTAAAGGTCTCCCCGTTACCATCAGCTGGATGGAGGTCAGCCTGGCTGCTAGAGAAATCACCTGGAGAATACTATGTTCTACTTCGACACTCGGCAGACTTGTCCAGAGAGACCAAGAATATGGCTCTTTGAGGACAGGCCATGTCCTAAAAAGCAGAGGGTCAGCATACCAGGCCAGAATCACCTCTGATTCACCTGCATAATGATTTTCAGACTGCAGAAGCAAGTATGAGGTAAGAACAGGGTGTTCCTGTGGAGGAAACACACTGGGTATCACCCAAATGCCTGTAGTCTGCATGAAAATTATCTACATATTTAGACAAGACAAGTCTGTTTGGAGCAACACCTTGACAGCTGAGAGATGGAATCGCAGTCTTCTATGGGTCAGAGAACATTTGATGCTGAGGCACAGAGAGCACTGGAGTTTCTTTCACCAATGAACGCCCTACTGCCCTTGACAGACCTGATGGAGGACCTGTAGCAATCATGTGTCAAACATCATGTTGTCACACTGTTCAAGCTCATCAACGGAATGGGTGAGGTAGAGGAGGAGATGGAAGTGTAATAGTGTGGGGTGAAACCTTCTTAAACACAGACATCTGGGGAAGACCGAGGGCAACCCTATTGTTCAGTGATAAAACTGACCAAGTTCTTCAGCCAGTAGCTTTTCAATCCCCACAAGCCAGTCCACTAGTATTGATTTCCCAGCTGGACAGTGGTAGATCACACAGTGCTAAAATTGCAATGGCATGACTCTGACGAAAACAATGCAGACTTTTTACGGTTATTCCAGAGCTGAGACCAGCAAAACATCTGTAGTCATCTACAGTATATCATCAACGGCAGACAATCACAACCATATCACCTTCAACTGAGGCTCAGCTGTCTATGCAGAGGCTGGTTAGGTCTAATAAGTTACTGCTAGTGTCAGGACAGTGCTAATGTTGAAAAAGGTCTTGCTTGATTATATATTTGAAATGTTTTTGTTTTGACAAATGTTTCACATTTCAAATTGAACGCTTATCATGATGCTTTAATCAGTATTATTGTTAACATTTCCTAACAATGTTTAATAATATTATTAAAATTTTTAATAATTCTTGATTGTGTTTCTTTTGTGTTTTAGTATATTACTGACAACAGGAATTCAGAGTAATGTACTTTCTGAAACAAGATTCCTTCTTGCACCCTGTTTATAATTTTCTCTTGAGGTTCTCAAGGTTTCACTTTTTAATTTGATACAACAAAGTAAAACAAATAAAAGGTAAACAAGTTATTCTAGAAATGCCACTGTTTAAAACAGTGAGCAGCAAAGACCTTATTAGCACATCAGCAATCCTTCTGCATGTTCTGTGAGAGCAAGGTGCAGACCTATTCAAGTACAGAAACGAAAACAACAGAACCAGTCGAGCTTGTAATGGCTTTCTCCTCATTCTCATTTTCAAACAAAAACATCTCAAAATGCATTTAAAGTAAAGCAGGTCTTGGAATAAGAGCTGTAGGTGAAGAAAATGGCCAATACTACTAAAGGTAAAACACAAGCTCATCTGGGCTCTTCACAGGGACTCTATCTGGACACAGTGAATCATTATGGAATTAATTATTCCGATTAATATGAGTCCCTTTCTTGTTCTGGTCAACATCCACCATGGAGAAGGTCCTGCCCTCTACTGATCGCTGTGTATGAGGCTCCTCTTGGTAAGGAGCTGCTCCCTCTGTGGAGAGGTAGGGCCGGCTGTGCACAGTCCCTACGGCCGTGGTGAAAACGAGCAGCTCTGATGGGACTAGAGCGGACACCACTTACATGCACGACGGATCACTGTAATAACCAGTACTGTACTGGGAACCTGATACAACAAAACAGTCAATGACTGAAAGCAAAACATATTTTTGTAATTTAAAACTTAAAAGATTTACGGAATGGCTTCAGCGTGTTCTTGACAGGTTATATCTATTTATTACAAAAAACAGCTGTTTTGAGCCAACCTCGATTACCTCATGCACATCAAACTGTAAATGATAATGTGTGGCAGCTGATGCAATGGCACACAAGTCACTGGAACCAGCGTTGTCAAAGATCAGTCCATTCTTAATACAATGTGTGTGGCAAAGCACTGACATTGCCCGACACTGACTTCATCATTATGCTTGATAAATGTAATCAAACAGTAAATGTAGTTATATTCCACAAAAGGGTTGGAAAGAAGATAAAAACATGTGAGAATGCAATGCATCAAACATTTGTTTTAACAGAGCTGCATTTCTAAAACCAATATAATGCAAGGTCAGATTTAGTCATTGGTTTTAACTATATAAACAATGACAGTATAACCAATTGTGGCAAACAGCCACAAAAATAATTGCCTAATTAACTAAAGGTAACAGACTAGGAAGAGCTTATTTCTAAGCCACCAATGTTCTCGGAACAGCAAGCTTATCACTTTCTCAATGGGAAAGACTACAGAGTATGGCATAAGGGTCAGAAGCAAAGTATAAAGCAAACATTTGTTGTTACTGGAAGTACAACTTATTGTTTGTGAAATAAACGCAAACAGGTATAACCTGAAATCTGTCAAGACCTGGGATGGGGTGGCAAGAAATCTCAGAAAGTCTTTTAAAAACCGTGACTGAAGTCCAATGGCTACTGAGTGAATTGACAGAAAGTCGAAAACCAGTATCAAGGTGAACAGTACAATGGCACACAAAACAGCATATAATCCACAAACGCAGTCCAAAGCACACGCTTTCTTCCTGAGGCAGTGCAAATACTGAAGGGCCCAGAATATGCCACCAACACAGAAGAGCCTGGTAAATCCACTGGCAAGACCATGTGGGTGAATAAGTCTGGACCAAAGTTCATAAGGTAATGAAAAGCAGGGAACAAAATCGACAAAGTCACTGGACCCCCCTGCCAAACAGTTCAGTTATGGTGTGGCTCTGCATCAGTAAAGTTTGGGGATTTGACTGAATGCAAATACACTGAGTGTCAAGTTCATCAGAGGTGGCATCGCATTTCAGCCCAGAAATGACTTGAAGCACACAGCCAAGCCAAGCACAGTTTCTAAAAATGAAATACGATGAATCGCCAATGAGAAATCAACTATCTTGAATCCTGAAACGTCGACTGAGTTGATCAGCAGGAAGAGCTGCTTGCACTGGGACAAGTTACAAAAACCCTCACCTACACGAAAACCACCACATGCCGTACCTAAAGACCAACGGAAAACAGAATGTACACAATGTGAATCCTTTTGTCTGCTTTGGGATATCAGTGAATTCATTGCGGGCTTGTTAAAAATAAGCACTTTGCTCTAGCACATGATGAGGCTTCTTTAGCTGAAGACATGCCTTTTACCGCTTATTACGCTGTATAAACTAAACGCATGTATACAGATGCATACATGCAGAAACACGAGGCACATGGTCGGTAAAAAGGAGGAATGGGAGCATAAGGGGTAGAGCAGGCCTGGATGTCCTCAGCATGGTGTGCTGGTGCTGGGGGCTGTTATTTTGGCAGTGATGGGGGTCATGGTTAGTCTCTGGAGCCTGAGCACACAGGCTCACCTGGAGGGACACTTACTGGGTGACGTAGGAGAATTGGCTCCTCCTTCCGTGGTAGTCGTAGCGGATTTGGAGTCGGGTGGCAACGTCAGTCGGGACATGCCAGGGGGAGGCGGTGGTGCCAGCATCTGCGAGGAAATGTAGTGGCTGGGCACCTTCACTTGACCACTGCCGTTCAGCTGCAAACGAAGAGAGAGCACAGTCAGCATGAGGGGGCTGGCGCACAGTCCCGCTGGCTGGCCTCGTTGCTCCGGGTCCGAGGCGGAGACCTCTCGCCTCGCTGCAGCGGCTCACGCACGCGCGCGAGCAGGATGTGAGGCCGCCGAGAGCCTCCTGCTTGTGTCTGCTCGGATCCGCGGTCCGTCCCTACATCAGTCCCGTCTTCCACTGTGTCCTATCATATCCGCAGGCACCCAGCGACTCCCTGGGGTCGTGGCTGCCCACCAGGCCTGAGCGGGCGGCTCACAGCTAGGTGCGCGCTACGGTTCGGCACCACCGGTGCCTACTGGCGGCCGAAGAAAACAATCTGGTTTTGGAAGACTTCCCCCTGTGTCCGCGACTATGTGAGGGTAGAGCTGTAACTCCGGGGCTGTTTGAGTTAGCTAACTCACAAAAGCACCACGAAGCTTCAAGTCTTTGAACACTGTCCGAGATAACGGATTTGGTATTCACATTTCAGAGGCAAACAAAAACCTCCCTTCCCACGTAAGAGATAAAGGTTTTACTGCCATCTCCGTAAGCCGTCTGTTGTCAGTGTACTGTACCACACATCTGCGCAAGCAGACGTGTGTCACATCAGTCCATCCACACTGGCAGTATGAGAGATCTGTGTAGTTTCTCAGCAACAGTCACGTTAAAACAAGAGAACCTCTGTGGCTTCACAAAAAAACCCAGACTGATTTTTCAAAATTACACAGCGGGTCATCAGGGACTCAGCTTAATCCTGCAGTTGTGAAGCTGTATTAACTGATTCGCCTTCCAAGATAGAGCCCCCTTCACAGATATATGCCCTTCAAGACTGTTCTCAAATGATCCGGTCTTTCAAGTTCTAGAGACTTAAAATGAACTACGTTCTTATCAGGAACATAAACACTGCTGATATAATGAAATCTGAAATACAGAAATGACAAATTACCTTTACATTTTCAACCAAAAACTATAAACATACTGTACATGTAATTCAAATTCTGAAACTGGAAAAAATGTCCATGACACAGTGATCTGCGATCAGTTTAAAACTGTCCTTCTAAGAATCATATGAAGCATTTACTCACTACTGAAGCTGAATAACAACAACAAGCACTGAGAAACAAAATTAAAGGCGTGAAACCTCTGAAACATGGGTATATTTACACAGTAAGAACTGTGTCAGTAGAAGTAAGAATGAAGAATGTGTTCAGCTGTAGCTGTGTTGACTGGAGTGTGCAAACCATTCCTGCAGGTCCAGAGAGCACTGGAGAGTGTAATCACTGTTGTCAGGTCTAACAGGAAGTGGTCTAATGTGACTCATCATGAAGAGATAGAAAATGCCTTGCTTCCCAGCAGCCTCAGCAGTATTGTAGTGAGAGTTGTGGCTCACAGAAGGGCCAAAGGGTTTCTGAAGACAGAAACTGAGATCCCCTGCTCTGCTTCTGTTCACATGACCAGCCACTGCTGTCCCTTCAATACCTACAGTACACATCCATGTTTAAGGGGAGTTTTTCTACTTACATGTTCAAAGTGGGAACCACAACCACCTCAAATGAAAGATTTGTCGCAGAAACATGGCTCATGTTTTTTTCATACTTTTGAAATTGGCTCAGTCCAATTTTTCTCCACTTTGGCCTCTAGAAGGAGAATGTAAATCAGGACCAGTTCAAATACAGTTACTGAACAATGAAAGTGGTGTTCAGAGCTTTGAAAGAAGTCCAGAGCCACTTCTCCTGAAACTTGAAGCAAATCAGTGCTCTAGCACAGTGACAAAACCACAGCCTATAGCCAGCAATGCTCCTCGTCTCTAATGAGATCCTGAATTGCACACGTCTGATGCTGACTTTCCAGAGTTCTTTAGATGTCTGGAAGCACTGGTGTAAAGATATGATCTCCCAGGTCCACAAGGGCAGGAGCAACAACAAACAAATTAGCACAGCTCACTGATATCCTAGTAGCAAAGCACTTCACAAAAGGCCTTTACAGTTATCGAGCCAAAGCCATTACTGAAAAGCTTTGCAAGGTAATAATTTAATTTTAAGTGCTATACTGTATACAAGGTACTGCAGCACTTAAAGCACCAGTGCATGGCATAGTGCCAGGCTTCTCCAGAGGGCATGTTTATAGCTTTTGCTAGCTGCAGTTTCACCCAAACAGTCCTGTTCCTGACCAAAGTACCCACCTACACAGAGTGCTGATGTGAATCAGGCATTTTTGAAAGTATTAATCTATTTGTACGTGTAGAGTTTCTGGTAAGAGAGAATATGCATGTGCATCACATGATACAGAGTGAAGTGCACTGAATGTTGCCCGAATCAAATCAAAATGAATCAAACATTGATCATTGACATGCACTAGGTGTAGTGCTTTCAAACACCACTATTGCAACTGTATAAAGTTATGTTACCCGCTACAATGAGTCAATGCGGTCTCACTGTTACACTGCACTCCTTTATCAGTAATTTTCCAGCTCTGGGGAGAACAAACCCTGCAGGCACCTCTTGTCCAATAAGGAGTCTTGCAGTACAGCCAGCTCAGTGCTCCAATGTCACCACAAATGTTGCATTTCTGCCAGAAATTAGGTCCTGGAATGCAGCAAACTAGTTCTCTCTCTGATGAAGATGATCAACCTTTGAGGTCACAAGTACCCATTTTTTCAACATTCATTTCAATATGCTTTTCAAGACTTATTCTTCTTCCTTTGCAAACCCATTTTGAATTATTTGATGTAGCAATCACTGTTTGTTGCCTGCCTTTTGCAATGCAGGGCAGTTTGGCTCTGTTATGGAGCACAAACAGAGTACAGGGCAACGCACTGCAATCCAATGGCCTCCCAGCAATCTCTACCCAGCCCTGTGCAGGAGGATGAGCCTGCATTCTGACTTGAGCTTTCCAGGCAGGGGGACAAATCTGATACAGTGCAAACTCTGTTACTGGTGGTTACTTGGGAACCAGTTTGTTTGAACAACATCCTACTGTAGCTGTTGCACATTTGCTTCCCCATCTGTGCAGTCTTGCTCTGGAGTGAGGAGAAGTGCCCATTTCTGTAAATCATGACCCTACCGGACATTAAGATCATTGCCTTAAAGGATGCAGTGGAAAAATGCAGCTTAAGGGAAAGTTCACCTCGACACATTGCAACTCTAGTCATCCAGACAAACCCACTTAATTTCTTGCAAATAACAGTCAAACAAGCTGATCCTAGGCTAGCTTTGCAAATGTGTTCTCTTCCTCAGCCAAGACAAGTTTCACACAGTATTCCTTGACTGCCCAGGAACAATTATAGGTGTACACAACTAAATCTGACCATTTCAGGTAACCCACACACCATCAGCAATTTTTTTTGCAATGCTAACCTGATTTATACCTGACCAGATAGCCTCAGGACTATAAGAAAACATTAATAGTTAATGTTTGACGCAGTCTACTGTGGTACGTTTTGTTAGTTCTACTGTAAACAGGCAAAATATTCTAGAGTTTCAACGAAAAGTGGTAAAATAGCTTCCAAGCTAAAAGTGCGTTTATCTTTTCTTAAAAATGTATAAATGTGTAAAATCTATAAAAGCTGTTGAGTCATTTACAAACTTATTCAGCTGGTAAATGTATGAATTTAATTGGTATTTACTGAAGTCACTGGTGCTAACTTCTGTTATTAATTCGTATGTCAGGGAACCCTGGATTCCATTAGATTGTGTAACCTAATTTGCCAAAGGTACAAAACATCGATAATGCACACTCCACAGTGTCTTCTAAAGCGCTTTGGTCGACAAGCTGTATAGGAAATTTGAAGCGAACGCTTTAAAATTGAGCTTCCTGCATCGCTCTTGTCTGGCGGACATTTCTCAAGTTGCAACAAAGGCCTGCTGTGGGTGAAAACGCCAGCTTGTCCAGGAGTCACTCCCGTTGGGAAAGGATAATAACAATTGCTCTGTGTCACTCGCACAGCCTGTTCAGCTCTCCGTGCCTCACAGGGATTTTGACAATAACAAAGAGAAAAAGAAATAAAGAAAAACTACCAGCATTTATAAAAGGCTATTATTAATTACTGCCCCGGAGAACAAATGATAGGCGAATATATTCGCAACATGAGCGTCTTTGCTGCGTAATTTGAGTTTATCAGTGATCGGAAGGCATTTAATTAAGTTGAAGGATTTTCAAGCTGGTACTTGTGTGAGAGGACTGGCACTGCTGCTGAGCTGTTTAATTAAGTTCACATAAATCCACGAAACACAAGGCAATTCGAATGGCACACAGCTGAACAGAATATTGTTACCATGAGGGCATCGATCTACAGTGATAATGCTGACAATGTAAACTGCCTGAAAGCAGAGAAACGTTTTATGAAGCCTGTGGCTATGCCACACACAACATTACATGTTACAACACCTTAAGGCCCAATACCAACATAACACCAATCTTCTTCCTGCTAAATTCCTAGTAATATTTTTCTCTCCTGCATTCTGTCACACTGACCCATTATCCTATTTACAAAACAGCCTTTAAAGATCAGGATCCTGAAACCTTGAGCTAAATGATCCAAAGAGACTGGGCTGCAGTTAAACGCAATGCACAGGTTAAATAATTGAAATGGCTGAACCCTTGAAAAACTGGGATCTGCTAAAAAACATCTAATTGGATATCTAATATACACTTGTTGTGCTCTGCTGGATATCTCCTGTAAGTGTAAAAGAAGCCTTCAAAACAAATCAATAGATCTGACCCAAGAGCTAAAGGAGCATCTGAATAAAATGAAAAGACTGAAATAAAAGACCAAACTTTTTTTTAAACTGAAAAAACAAAATTCCAGAAGGGGATTTAAAGAGGATGTGGTGCTGTGTGTGGCAAAGAATTAAAAAAACGAAACAAATGAAAAGCAAAGAAGGAACTGTTTGCAACCATGTTAATCTGTGCAGAGGAGTGGAGAATCCAATCACTGTCGATTCTATGCAGGCATTTTTCCAAATGGATTTCTTTTCCATTTTTTCTCCAACAGAGCTACAAAAGAGAGATCAAAATGCAACAATATACTGTATGTAAAACACAGGAAAAAAAGGAAAGGGAAAAGGAGGTTTCTCTGTAGGCTTGGAAAAAAGGCCGCTCACTCTCGAAAGCTCTGAGCAACGCTCTTGTTCAGGTGAGAGGAATCACTGGCTAAAGGGGCAGAAGCACAACTAAGCGAAATTAACCACCAAGGCATGGGGCACAGAAACCCAGGACCGACAGGCTCATAGATATTCATGCTGCATGTAGAGTAGTTTAGTAGCAGAGCACAGTATATGACTTGATCTGGGATTGAAATGATAACCAGCCTGCTAACTGACACAACAGTGGAATCAGCTTTCATCGACAGCTTCATTTGTGCAGCAACACCACAAGCGAATTCGCCTTGGGAACAGGAGCACTCAAGCAGATTGCGGAAGGGCTAGTCCAGGCTATTTACAAGTGGTCTATTAAGATGTGGGCCTCACTGAGGCAAAAACAGTGTTAATGCCTGGTGTGGGGTACACATGGTCCTTCCTGTCTGTCCACTGGGAATGCCAGGGAGGCACAGCAGCAGTCACATCTTCCAGATACAAGACCCGATTCAGGAGGCAGCCCCTGCCTGCTCCTTGGTCTGCAGAGCGCCAGGTGTCCGCAACAACAACCCGCAAAGGGGCCTAGGAAACGGGAGCAACTTTCTTACCGGGCCGGGCTGCTGATTGGAGGGGTCACAGGCGAGAGAGACGAGATCCTTGAGGGGGTCCTGCGCGCCGAGGTGGGGGGGGTAGCGAATGGCCGTGTGGGGAAAGTAGGTGGATGCTGTCTGAGGGAGGATGGAGGTGGTGGGGAAGTGTAGAGATGACGAGGGGTGTGGACTTCTGGAGATACCTGCAGACAACAAGCACACCACAGAAAATCGCATTAGCATGGTCATGGAAGAGCAGAAGAAAGGCTGCTAAGGGGAGACCTTTCATCCCATCTTGTTCATCTGGTTGCCAGTCGCTTATTGATCTCGGGATCTCAACCAGCTGGTTACTGAAGGATTCAAAAGAGATCAAGTTTGCTGGGTAGTTTGTGCCCAAATACAAGGCTTGATCCACCTTGAACCGGTTCCTTTTTTAAAGCGCATGCCGAACAACACCTAGGGGCATCAAAATAATGTGCTTATTGTATGATTACACGGTGCAATTCACAAAGGCTCCTGTATCATACCACTAACCATAAAGTAAATATTTCCTTCTTGACTACCCTCCCAGCTTCCACTCTGTACATCACAGAGACAGACAGGCATATCATGGATGTCCTTAACAGCACATGGTGAAGAACTCAAATCCCCTAGAAGGGATACATTTCAAGAAGCCACATCCACACTGGACACTTAAAATAAAAATAACTGATGTTGACCAACCCACAGCTTGTACCATTTATTCAAACAACAACCTGTCCACAGTTTAAAAGCATAATTGTATACTTTTAATAATTACTGTGTGTTGCGCTGCCCTGTTACTCACTTTGCCTTCTTCAAGCTCAATCTGTGACTTCCACACAGAATACTTGCAGTGCGATACTGCAATACTTGTAGTTCACATCAAACTAAACTAACAAGACAAGGACGTGGCAGTGATTAATGCTGCTGCAGCTCTGAAACAGTTAGTCCAGTCTGTTACTGCCACAATGACTTCAGTGACACATTCAGGATGTAATATTGGATGGAACTTGTAAACATTTTGACAAAACATCAGAGCCTAATACAAGTGTGAGCATAATTGCTGTTCTACAGTTTGTTTTTAGAGTTGGTTTATTTACAACCTGTAGAACTGTATTGCTAAAATGTCAAGAAAATTACTTTCCAGGTTAAGCACAGGAAATTTGTATGTAAACTTCATTTGCAAAAAAATATGGAATTCCTATCGAGTAACATAATATTCGCAAAGAGCCTCAACACAATAATTCTAACAATACTCGGATTTCCCATAATACTTTCGTGTTTGTGGTATAAATATATTTCTTTTACATGGACATTTTGGGCTTGGTGTTGCTTCACATTTTATTTCCATGCAAAGCTTGCTCATTTTCATAACAGGGCTCTGTGTTCAAAATAATGTAATATATTTTAATATGTGACTTCAAATGCTGCATTTCTTCTTGATCCAGAAAATGTTCATCTTCTCTGTTCTGTTTAATTTGTTTTCAAGTCTTAAAGAGTTTTTTTATCTACCCAAACCTTTCATGTACAAAATGTGGCATTTATATGATGCTAATTTATTTAATCCATTATGTTAATTTTCCATTATCAGAGTAATGTGTTAATCCAGCTCACATATGGTTCTGTAAACCATTTCATTTTATGGCTTTTTAATTGTTCATGCACCAGTTTGTTCATTTACCTTTGCGGATTGCTGCCTGTGTACAGCTTACATTTTATTGTCTTCACAACACTAGCTGTATTGCAATCCTGCGTGTTGTGAAGCTCAATTAAAAAAAAGCTCCACCAAGAGGAGTTCCTTTACCGGAAGAGTTCCACGTGCTTCGTAAGAATGTGACGGAGAACAAGTCTACCTTCCATTCGCCAAAGTCCGACACTCAAATATGGGACAGGGGTGCTCAGTTTTTTTTTTGATGACATCTGAAATGGGGTGTCTGAAGACAAGCTAGATGCGTCTCCACACCTGAGATCATGGTAAACTTGGCTGTCCGCCGCTTGCATTCGGTGTGCAATTACTGCTGGATCAGCAGCAGCTTTCGCAGGCAGAGCTTTGGAATCCTTGGTTGGAATGAAAAACACGTCAAACAACCCCTTTCATCTCAATCCCAAACTACAACGAGGTAGAGCCACAGGACAAAGAGCAGCGAAAGACGAGACCCTCTATGGAGTGACATTAGAGATAAAGGGTTCAAATTAACTTGGAGCATTCTTGGGGTCTCTGGGCAACTTGGACCTGATGAAAGGCTGAAGGGGTGACTTCACGGTCAGTAAGACACACTATCAACATTCAAGCCTCAGGCTTGCTAAACCAAGAGAACTGGGATCCTCTCACTGTGTAGAGGAAGTAATGCTGACCCTTTGGGACACAAGCTGTTTTCACTGCCATGTGGCCTGATGTGTGCCTGAGTTGAAGCCCTACTGGGGCATGTCCACCTAGCAAGAACCACAGCAAGGGAAATGGCAGGATCGGTCCTGTCCACAGGACGCAAACACCACATCGGCTCGGACTGTGGCTGCCGGGGGTCTCCTCACCGCTGTGCACTGCGATCACGGGCCGGTGGTGCTGAGTGAAGCTGCTGAGCCGAGGGGAGCTGTCCTGGGGGGAGGGGCTGCTGAAGGGAGACTTGTCCATCTCGGTCTTCTTCACCGTGGGAGAAATCCCTGCACGGGGATAGAGGGACACAACACACAGTTTACACTTCATAGCACACGCTTCACCTCAAAGGCAGGCTGTAGAAATGAGCAACACGAGACAACAGCCTCCTTCAGATGAGATGAGAGATGCACACAAATTAAGCAGCCAAATGTCTTCTGTACTCTGATAGAGTACAAAACTCTAACATCAGTACCTCCAAATTCAAAAGCTGCAGGGCAACAGATGAGGCAACTTGAAACAAAGTATTGGGTCAACATTGTGGTTTGGTCAATTCAAAGACAAAACAGTAGAAACACCATCAAGTTAAAGAATACAGTCAGTATCATTATTCACAAGGGTAAATTGCAGTATTATTATGCTAGATTTAGTATGAGGATTGTACAGGCAGATCAAATTTATTTTTGTCTCCTATTATCTCTTGTCACCACTAGGGGCCAGCAGCAACAGCAAGCTGAAACTACTGTACATCTTGCTGCAGTGGTAAAGGTGATTCTTTTCCAATAGAACTACAAAATAGTGATGACATAGTGAAACATAGAGTTTGAACAAGGTCTGAACAATTACGACCAGATATTTTCTAACTGAAAACATGATTCATAAATTAAAAGCTTTTCCAAACTAATTAAAATCAAAAGGGGAGTTCACCTTCCAAAGGGCATTTCAACAGTGGGTTTTGGGGGAAAGGATGCTGTCAAAAAGCCATGTTGCAGGTCAGTCATCTAATTAAAAAATCACGTTTTGGCATTTAAAAAATATACTGTGTGCAGACAATTTTTTAAATGATTCCCTCATGAAATGAACATCATTCGCAAAGATGATAAGGGCATGCAGTTCTACAGACTTGGACGTTTCACTTTGGGATCTTAATTTTTCTCCGGCAATTATCCAGGATCCAAGCGAAAGCTGCAGAGCACCAGATAATGCGACCCACTCCCCACGGATTCAGATTGAGCTCGCAGTGCCAGGGTTGTGGATGAGCACGAGAAGGGAATTATTTTTCATACAGAACAGCAAGTCCTACCACAGTCTGTGCAGCAGCAGAGACATGCGTCGCTTCACTGAGACTGCGAGCCTGCAAAAAACAAACCCCACACCAAGCAGATAAAGAGCACTGGCTCTGCAGGACTGAGTCGCTCCTTAAACACTTACTCAGGAGTCCCGTAAAACAACAACAACAAAAAAAAAAACTTTAAAGACAAAGCTTCAATCCTTCCAGGCCACATCTTGCACCTCGTAATTGTCCAAAATGCTTCTCATATGCCAGCCGTTACAAGTCAAGCGGTGTGTGGTTTTGAGAAAACCTGAGCACATAACGAGTCAACAGCATGACTCTCTAAAAGAACCTTCAGGGGGAGAGACAAACACCTTCCAACAAAACCTCCCTGCTCGTCCTTCGAAACAGACTCTGAAGTACATTACAGAAACCTCGGCTTTGCCTGGTTAAAGTCTTTTGAGTTAAAAAAAATAATAATCACAGGTATGAACATTCACAAAAGGTCCACAAAAAAAGAGTGGAACTGCATGACACACACTCACTATTGAAGCCTTTGTGTCATGGAAGGTAAAAGTTATTGAACCCTGGGAGATGCTGCGCTGAAATTTTGAGTATTCAAATATTTCTGTGAAATTTGCATCTTCACTAATATGCCTTGTGTCTCATATATTGAGCTCACACGAAATATCTTTATAAAACTGATGTTACATTTCTTTAAAATGTTACAGAACATGCCCTCAGGGTTTCATTTATCTTTGTGAAAGCACTTGTTAAGGTCCAAGGAACACAATGCTACATTACACTGTAATCAAAATATCATCTAGTATGATTGTATAGTTATGTTACAACTACATACTGTACGACTTCATTATTTTAGGCAATTAGTTTTAATGAAAAAGTTTAAGGATAAAGTTGATATATTTCAGGGCTTTTGGTACATACATATTCCATGAAGCAGTGTTTCTCATTAAAATACTGCTTTGACTTTCTGATGGTGCAGGAAAGCATTAAAATGCAATCAACAGACTGCACAACTATGCGTGTATATTATTTTACATTGGAGGTCAAAATTTTTTAAAAAAAGAGGAAATACCGAGCCTAGACACTCCAATTGGAGTTGCCAGTTTGTAGGATTATCACACTAACGTTGCCTTTCCTTTCACAAAATCACATGCGAACTCCACTGGGGTTCACAGATCCTGGCCATGTCCCGTTCACATCTGAAACTCAATAGGCAGCTTTTAAAGGTCTGCCGCTTCTTGCAGTAGAGTCAGGGAAGAAACCGGCCAGCAGTGGTGCGCTGTCTGTGCCCCCCGTCACATTTCACACTTGGGTTTCGACGGGCCTCCCCTGTCAAACCCGGCGCGAGCTCGAACACCATCCTTTCCGCCCCCAGACCCCCGGACCCCCAGACCACACCGACCTCAGCCGCTGCTGTTCCACCCTGCGCTTCCACAGCAATCAGCTGAAACACTCATTAAACTAGGCCTCATTAAGGCCGTCTAGACAGGAAGAGCGAAGTGTGTTTGGAAGGCAACCCGAGCCTCCTGCAGGGTTGGGGGGCACGGCAGGGTCACTCCGCTGACCCTCACTGCAGCAGGGTCAGCAGCAGGGTGACCGCAGGGCAGAGCTGCTCCTTGGGGAGACAGTCCACCCACGCCGGCTGCACAGCCACTGAGAGACAGCTTTAACCCTTCTCAGTCCCACTCGCACTCACCCAGGGCGGTAAAACTTCCTTTAAAATAAATAAAGCAGACAGGAAGGCGGGGGAAAAAAATATCCTTCGCAAACCTTTTCATAACGTCTCCGCAAATGCAGGGTTTCTATGTCGGGGTGAGGACCTACTCAGTTGTTTCCCATGACATCCTGATAAATTGATGCTCGACTCGAGAAGAAAGGGCTACTGTCACTGTAAAAGAAGCTCTGAATGACTCCTCCCTATCAAAACTGTGTGCTACTCACTGTGAGGTACCTTTAACAGCTAGCTAGAACGTGAACCAGAAACCCCCAGGTAACATAGCTCATCCAACACTCTTGAGTGCATGTTTGTACAGTATTAGTCAGGTCAATGAGGAGCCACCTCTCCCCATGAGCTCTTGTAAGGTATTAGTTACAGTATATCCAATATACCTTCTCACATAGCCCCCAGACTTCATCCCCAAGTTAAATGTGATGGGACAGTCTGCAGCCCAGCATGGGGGACGGGAGAATTCTGCAATCTCACCATCCCTTTGAGAGGGGAGGCCAAGTTCTCCAACCCAGACAGGCAGCTTTCTACAGCCAAGACCTGACTTGCTCACAAAAGCCTGCCTTATACACCCTCCACAGGGATGGATGATAGACCTGCACTGCTGTTAGTTTTGCATTAGGCAAGACATCCTCCAGATGACACTGTACTGGGTAGTAGAAAAAACAATATAAAGTCTCATCTAAACATGTTAATCATATAGTCAGATTATGGTTAGGTGGTTAGATTATATGGTTAGGTCTTGGTTAGATTAACGGATGCCATTGCCTCTCTGAGAATCTTTATCAGGAGGGAAATATGGGTAGGGGGCTCTGTTACAAATCAGTAACCTCTATGCTGTCCCAGAATTGAAATGGGCTTTCCTTTCCCAGGTTCAAGCTGTCACACTCAGCCGCCCTAAAAATCAAATTTTAAAATGGTATATCGATGGGTGAAGTAATGTCCTACACAAAATACCACCCTCAGGCTTTGTTATCCATCCACATATGATAGTATTACAGGTCTAAAAAGCTGTAAAAAACTAGAATGTTACTGCAAGCATAGGGCTCCACAACATCTTGCTACAGGTTTTCCATATACTGTATTTGCTCAGTAGCACATCTTCAATTTAGGGTCATGGTCACGGAACACATTTACAACAATATGGTTTTAATCCCCACATGACACAGCTTTATTCTGAAATGACTTGTTCAATTCAGCACAGGGAGAGATTCAAAGAAGAGACTGGTCTGTAGCTCTCAGAGCCCTTAGAGGAGCTGACACATTTATGGGCAGGGGCTACACATGCTTCTTCAAACAATGCCGAGAGCTGGTAGAAGAAGCAATGCAACATACTAGGCCAGAAGTGGTGACACACTGAGACGAGGATTGAAAAACTCCCTGCAGATCAGCAAAATACAATGTGAGACCGCAGCTTTTTCACAGCTTCAAGATAAACGAAACTGTCTGAACAACCACCCCAACTCCCTGAATGGTCGTCAACAAGAATTCCAAATAAGGAAAAAATAATAATATACTGCCCAATGACATTCTAAACAAATTTCAAATTACCGTTTATTCTCTTACATAGTGACTGCAGTCGGCATGTCTGAGAATTTTAGAATATTGACATACCCTTGCAAAGCGCATAACAATGGGATCCTACAATGCAAACCTTTTGCTAAGACAGGAATAGAGAAATGGCATATGTAGGAAGCTCAACAATAGACTAGGCTGAAAAAAAGTATACATTTTTGGTATATCCCAAAAGAAACAAAGAAGTCACTATTGTTTTAACAAGACAGGCTTTGGTGAAAACTCTTTTTGCTGCTCACACGTGGCACAGATACATTACAAAGCCACACAAAACACAGCCCTTAATCAGCACATACTGTATATTTAGAATACTTCATTTCATTGTTTCCCACATTGAGCTGAGGGTAAGGAAGACATGCAGAGAACTAAAGGGGAAAAAAAGCAGTTACTTTCTTTGGCCGATTCGGCAAGTTCTGCACCGCAAGGCAAAAAACGATTTTTCTATTGCCCTGTAAACAACAAGACAACAAACAGGGCATCTAGGACCTAATGTCTTTGCACATTGATTGGTCTGAAAAAAGAAAAAGTCAAACATTTCCCGTCACTTTGGAAGGAAAAGAGAAAAAAGCTTCGACACCAGCATCTGGAAACAAAGCCTTGTAATTTCAGGCAGACAGTCCAAGAACAGCTCAAAAGAATTTAAACAAATCAATCCCCACATGTACTGTAGGTCTCACTTCATGTCTATGTATGTGATTCAATGTGAGCCATATTTTAGAGAAAAACAGAAACAAAACAATAAAACTTCATATAAATCCAGTAAACGAGAAATTCGGTTTCTTTAAAACAGGCCAAACAGGAAGCCTAAACCAAAGGCTCCTGGTGTATTTTCCTATTAGTTAGAAGTATGAAAATATTCATTAAAGTGTGAAAATAAATCTGTGGAGCAGCAGTCCTGATAAAAAAGAGCCCACAGAGCGAGTAAACACATCTAAAAAAAAAAAAACCTGTTAAGAAAAAAAAAAAAAATCCAAAAAATCCGCCAAGCAAAAAAAAAAAAAGAATATTAAGAAAAGATTTTGGCTGGAGTCAAGCCACTCGAAGCCAAACTTTAGCAAACAATGGTGTTTGCTGTAAAGATAAAGAAACCCTTTTTGAAAGCGGACGACACAAATGACTGACAAGAAATGGGGCAGAAGGCAGTACGCGCTCCTCGAGTCCGGGTGAGCGCTTGTACAAAAGGAGAATTGTTAAAACAGCCCCTGCAGTGAAGATCCTTCTTCCTGCCCCCTCTCACAATTACATAATATGAGATGACAGAGAAACCACTAATATCCTTTTCTGCTTCTAAAACCACCATGAAGAAGCTTGCTTTTCTAATAACTATGATAATAAAAGAGGCAAGGTTTCGTATTAGTTGCATTAGGCAAGGTGCATTTCAGAGCAGCAATTGTAACGCTGAAGAGAGCCTGACTGAGCTCCAGGTTGAATAGGAGGCTCACTCCCTGGCCCAGAGGCCAGGAATGTAGCTGAACCAGCCCCAAATGACCCTTTGATGCGCTTGTTGAACTGCAATGGATAGCTTTTTTTTGAAGGTTTGTTTATTAAGAAGTGTGCAATCTTACAGTATGACCTTGGGCTCTGAAAAGGAAAACTGATGCCACAGGATGTAGGAAGAAAATACTTTCTTATGAAGTCTGACAAAAAATAAACAAAATGTTTAAAATTACAAAAAGGTTTCAGACTTTAAAAAACTAACCACAGGGCAGGAGACAAGAAGTACGTCTCTCTATCTCTACTTATCAACAAATAAACATTTCTTAATACTTGTTACTCAAGTCTATGGTGACAGCAAGGAACGTGAATAATAGTTGTGAAAATTAAAGTATTTGGATTATCTCGCTAACCAAAGATTGCCTGTGATGGAATAACCTAACAGCTATATATCGCATGAGGACCAGATCAAAATTATTCTAAGAGGCAAAAATAAAATGCAGGTCAGTGTTAAGCTAGGACAGATAGTAGAACCATCTTAAAAAGACTAAAAACTGCTGAGCAAATTTCTCTTAAAGTGAACAAAAAAAGTTTAATGCAGCTGTAATTGAAATAATATGTGTGCGGAAACGGAAAATATTTTGCAAAAATGAAATTACGGATGGCACATGCTCCTCCCGCGTGACAAAGGGAATGAGAGAGCACAGAATGTTGTAAATATACTCTATTAAAATGCGTCAAACCGCAGAAAATCATAAATCACAGGGAGGCGTCACTGAGATCTGAAACAGAGCCGTCTGTTTTCTGTGATTGTCTTCTCCGCATCAGAGATGTGCACTCCCGAACAATGTGTACAGTGGTGTGATGCACTTCAATTGCACAGGATGAAAGGAGGGATCAGAATGACACCGCTGTACAAAATCCTTACACACAATCAGGAGCTGAAGTGAAAATCTGTTACAAGCATCAACAATTTACTTAGAACCTGCCACCTGGATTCTCTACTAACGTTTTTTCTGTTATCTGTGCAGCTCAGTCTGGTTTAGAAGAAACCACGCTCGTCGTTAAGCAATCTTTAATTCACCTTTTGATTAAATTTAACATGAACCTTCAAAAACATGATTAACTACTAAATTTTCAATAGTCTATTAGAATTAACAATTTGCTTAAAACAAAATGGCTAAAATTTCAGTAGACCGGAAATTTGTGGTGCTGCTCAAGGAAGAGTACACTAGTGCACTAGTAGTGTTTTTTTTATTGGTAATACTCACTTAGAAGGTTTCAAAATAATAGAAGAAGGACTATTAAGTTCCTTTATGCTTTATTTATATCAATGTCTGTTTATTTTCTGAAATATATAGCCTAACAATTTTAGTGGTTTCTTAATTACAGACTCCAAACTTGAAAGCAGCACATTTGAAAGGGTCAATTTATTTATAAGTTACAATCTGAAATTCATCCTTCATTTGACCATTTCAGATGTCTGTTTAACGAAGAACACTGTCCGCATTACTGTGTGTCTCCCGTTTCCGCAGCCTCATCCTGCGTTTTCACAGACCTGCCCCTCAGCTGCTGTCCTTGCATGTGGGTATGGCTTGTGTATGACTATCATCATGCAAGCAAGCAAGCAAGCAAGGAGAACAAACGGGAGGCTTGCCACTATTTCTTTCCTTCAAAAAGAAATTCTTTCTCTGCCTGCGCCTACGAGGCGGGCTGGGAGTGAGTTATTCTTGACGGTGGCACGTTGCAACGGCTAGACCTGTCCACACAAGGGAACTCCTCCAATGGGAGCCTGGAGCCCAGCCAGCTCCGGAGGCAGGATGCCCAGTGCCGTACGGTGGTCAGCGTGAATGCTGAAGCCCTGCGGAAAGAGCACCACTGTCTCACTCACCCCCTTCCATCTCCTCCTGCCAGTTTCGGCTGCTGCTGGCGGGGGAGCTGGGCGATGTGTAGAATTCTCCGCTGGGGCTAGTGTCAATGTCGTCCTCCATGGAGCCGGACTTGTGCCTTTTACTCCTGCGGGACACGGGGGGGGGAGGGAAAAGAGCAGATTCCGTGAGCGTTGGCATTGCGGAAAAGAGCAGATTCCGTGAGCGTCAGGCTCAAGGCCGTTCAAATCAAAACGGTTCTGGATAGTCCAGATCACTGGCATCGCACTGGCTGCTGGGTGCTATCCCAGTCAAACCCCCATCAAAACCACTTAAAATTCTCAGGACATGCAGAAGGTCATGGCTTTATTTGGAGAAGGCCTCAATTCCATTTCCCTTCATATTTCTCTCCATTAAACCTTATGAACAATTTTTTATTCCAATGAAATCAATTAAATCAGAGTCAATGAGATGATTCTGACAGATGGCATTATGGTCCAGAATAGGTCTGCTGATTTTTTTTTATTTAAAACCTTTCCCGTCTTTTCATTATGTTTATTGATTTACAGGAAGACAATAAAAATATTCAGTTTTTCATGAAATATACAGTATAAAAAACAAAGCACTGTGTATTGGAATTATTTAAGCTCTACAGTATACATGAAAAAAGGTGTTGCCTCTAGTTCAGGACAGATCTAATTTATGGCGTTGGCATAAACTGCAAGCACAACTGCACCGCAAGGTTATATTAAACCAATAACTGCATTTCTGCAAGACTTTGGTCAGGGCTTTGTCTTGATGCCTCCCTGAGATCCATCCCCCACTCCAGAGCTGTCCCTGGGTGGGTTCGGAGCTCGGACCGGCGCCACTCACCCGCTGGAAGAAGTGCTGGGCAGCGTCCTCCTCATGCCCGTGCCAGTGGGGTTCAGGTCGTAGGCCAGGTGACCCTGCAGCTCTCCCAGTGAGAAGTTGGGGCCGGTGCCCGTCACCACAGGAGCTGCATAGACACAACGGGACAAGTCAGCAAGGGCCCCGCACACCCCCTCCTCCCGCCAGCCGGACCGGGCTACTGCCGTAAACCCTACGAGAGTACAACAAGGATACCATGGGAAGTGAAATGCCATGCATTTGGCCACAGAAGGGGGGGGGGAGGGACAGCTAAAAACATAACACAGTGAGACTGCAGGGAAAATTCCACCACACACTCTTCATGCAGTTGTGCTTCAGTTGATTGAGCAAGGCTGCCAGTAGCTTCAGGTGTATCCATCACTTCGCAAAACGTTCCCCAGGGCAGGTGTTTGCTAAGCCCAAGTGTGGATCTCCGTGGATCGTTTATAGTTACAGAGTCCAGATCTTTTGCTTGGCAATGTTTATGCCTGGGCTGGCAGTGTAATTAACAAGTAATCAGGGTCAGACCAGGTGTGCTAATTGGCATTGTCTGAGTACATCTCTGTTCCCTATGGCTTCCTCAGAAAACTCAAATGCCCCCTGTTCTGTATTCACAATAATTCAGACTGTCGTGGTAGACGTCTTTTGCAGCAGTGACTGCTTGAACCCATTTGTTTTGCCATTTGCCATAAGCTTAATGCAGTCTTTCCCCATTCCTTGTCTGAGGTCAGTGAAGTGTTTAATCTCTGGCCAATCTGCTCCTTAGATGGGTGTTTTAAGGCAACATTACAGTAAGCAGCTTTTCCTGGAATGACATCCTGACCCAAGTTTTCTAAGTTGGGGATTTTCAATCTCACCGTCAAAAGGCTGCCCTCACACAGACACAGGAGTGGTGAAAACCACATGGTTGTACTTCTAAAAGTAGAGGCTTTCATCGAAGCAGACATTGTCCAAAAGGTTTTGATGCAATCTGAACTGCCAAAAGTATCTGGATAAAAAGTACCACACTTGGTGGCACGGTGTTAGCTACAGCCTATGTGGATAAACCTAAAGCAACTTTGTGCCAATCGCATACAACTTCGATCTATGATGCCCAATGATGATCAATATGAATATTGGCCATGATGGTATGAAGAGCACATCTGAGTGCACTGTCGGCTGTAGCCATATGCAGCTCTTATGAAATTTCACTTCTCATGTTACCTTTAACGTGTCCCTCTTTTCTCGGTCATTTGATCATTGTTAGCTGCTGCGCCGAGCTAAAATGGACAACTTGCTCCACAATTACCCTACAGATAGGAAAGAAAGCATGAGGTAGCTAAAAACTAAATCTCATTTTTCTAACAGGTTTCATAATCAACTATGAAAAGCTGTCAGTACAGAGCTTAACATGTCAGTCTTTCAGTTAAGATGCTGAGAGAACAGAACTGAAGTGTAGTTTTCAAACTAGGTCTCGAGAACTCCATATAATAGCCATACGATAATGAAAGAAAAGCCAACTGATAAATGCATCACACCCTCTGGTTTTGTTTTGCAAACCTTCAAGGAAGGAATGATTACAAAGGCTATTTCTATTCTTGGATGTAAGGATAGCCTTCACTTTTGACACGTCATCAAAGCTGGGAATATCTGATAGAAAGGGATTTATAAACTACACAATGCAGCTGGATGATTGAAAAAGAGACCATGCAGAGGATGCAAAGACAAAATGTCAGAGACAGTGATGGTCTGCAGTGCTCTGACTGTTCATGCTTTTTTTTTTTACCGTGAAAGGACTGGATGCCTTTATTTACCTCAAAACCTTTACAAATGTCAAAGCTTAAACTTCCAGAGCACCACAAACTCATTCCACAGCATGGCACAAAAAGACAAAAAATTCTGTCCTTTCACTAGCCTCTGCAAGAGATCGTCTGGCATGCACTGAGGATTGCCAAGACAATGAGCAGAAAGGCAAAACTCCAAGCCCGAAATCCACAAATATGATACCCCAGTTTGTGAAATCATCCCCCCAGGAAAGAAGTGCATGAAATCACAAAACAGCACATGATCAGTATATCAGAAAGGCCACAAATATATTTCTAAACCCATAGCCAAATCCTCCATGCACAAAATCACCTGGACACCCTTCCTTGGAAAGAGACATGTTAAACTAATCAATCAAGCCTTCATGTCTTTGGGAGGTCACCCATGCAAACACTATAACAACATACAGTATAGACTCCACACAGACAGGCACACCAAGCTGGACTCGAACCCAGTACCCTGGAAGTAAGAGGCAGCAACGCTTACTGACACGGCCGTGTGTTGTCTCTGCAAATGCACCTACTGTACAGCAAATTTGTATACAGCGATATACAGAACAGCAAAATCTAGTCCTGACTGTGGCTGTGAATAAAAAGCCACACACAGCGGCCACTGTCCAGCTGTGGCTAACAAGAATCCTTTAAATACAGTATAAGCACACTGCATAGATAATATACTGTAGCACTATATACAATATGTATGTATTACCATTAAGGCTAATCTAACTGTGGTTTTGACATGTTTTAACATGCACCCAGCCATGCAAAGCAATGCAAATATTTTTTTTCCATCAAATCATCCCATTATGGTGGCCCACTAATCCCCCACAAATAATAGGCCGTGGCCTCTAGTTTCCCCGTGCGGTCATTCAAACCCGTGTGGCTGAAGGGCTTGACCAGCTGGTCAGACCAGGGGCCGAGTAAACAATGAGGTGACAAACATTGTCTCAGACCCTGTTGGTTTTCAGTCAGGAGTAATTTCAAAGACGAATGAAACCTACTGTTGCAAGGGACAAGGACAAAGAGGTCTACGCCAGATCTTCTTTGCCCTCAGTGCGTAGCGTGAATGTTTAAGTAAATAAACTATGTAACAGTAACATCCATCCACCCATTTGCTTCCAATCCAGGGTTGGAGTGGAAGGCGTGGAGTGGCATGAGAATAAGAAAGTGAATGTCCGAAAGCGAAAGTGAAAGTCTTGCATTTGAAGTCTTGACTTGAGTCCTACTTGGAATTTGTGGAAAGACTTGAAAACTGCTGCCTATAAGTAAACTCCGGGCAATATGAAGGCTAGAACTAATTTGTCAACAAGAACGGGCAACAACTGCACCAAGCCAGTGTGCAAGACTGGTCCTGAACCAGTCCTAGTGGCTGTAACTGCTGCCAAAGGGGTTTCCACCAAATACTGAGTTCATGGCTCTCAATACTTAAACAATCAACATATTTCAGGTTTTTTTCCATTACTTATTTCTGTCATTTACTGTAACCTATCTTATTCCTAGAGGTATTCAGTTTGAGCATTCAGGTTTTGAATAAAACATACAGAAATGCGTATGCATCATTTTGTAATTTCGTGCAGTAGGACACTATAGTAAGGATATGAAGGCACAATATATGGACTCTGCAAGACAGGTATTTTGATGAGTCTTGCCATAGTCATAAAGGCATGATTTACTGAGATATCTGCAAGCCAGCTGAATATGTTCAGCGCATATTGTACATAAAATGCATGAATATTTGACTTGATGGCACTAGCTTAGTTGCGCTTAAATTTTCCACTCCTAATAGCACTGGACTCTTTATACAACTTTCAGTCTGACAACCAGTAGAAGATAAAAACACCCTTTAAAACCTCTTTATGACATTCAGCTGAACAACCATCTTGCACTTTCAACTTCAGATGGAATAACAAAACCACACTGATATATATAAAGAAACTTAATATCCCCCGCTCACTGCCATAATCACTAGAGAATGACAAGTACATGGAACATTACAAACGTTAATAACACATGACACAAATTCTACCCATTATGCTTCGACTTTCCTTTCCATTTTTTTCCACTGCAAAGCAAATTAAGTTGCTATGAAAATTTATGTCCAGATTATAAATCTGTCAACATTACTGTTATGTACTGTGTCTTAAATCTACGGCAGGCAAGAGATTTTGATTAAGGAGGTGGTGATCTGATCACAAGCTACTTCAGCAGGGCAGTTATATTAAAGGTTTGTATCAGGCTGTGTCCCTCAATACTGTGGCCTTGGCTAATTAAGAGGATACCTCCTCCCTGGGTTACCTATGACTCGACACACATAAATCTGACTTTGCATTTCCTGCACTGAAATCTCAGAGTTAAGGAATGTGTAGAATACTTAGAAATAAAGTCAGTGTGGGTGAACGGCGAGGAGCGTCACCCTGTCTCCATCAGCATCCAGCAGGGCTCTGTTTTACACTCTGTCTCCCTCCGTTCTCGCACACATGCCGCCCCCCCAGTTGGCCACCCAGCCTCTTTGCCGAAAATTGTGAGCAAACCGTTCAGCAATTGTCGGGGACGGTGTATTTTATTTTATCACTGAACAGTACACTACCATACACGTGCATGGTAATCAAATGCGCAGTACATTTGTGTATATTTTCATTAAAAGGCAACTGTCTATCTTTCTCTCCAGTGTTACATTTATTGTGTCTTGTACATGTACTGTGAGTGTTTGCTATATTTTGTGATTATTGTATTTCATTCTAGGGGTTTCATTTTTTTTTCCACGAAGCCGCATGTTTTATTTGTAAACCTCAGGCATGGTGATTCTCTGTACTGTACGTTCTCACAGAGGCAAGGACTTTCGGAAAGACCTGCGGAAGAGAGCCCGTCCAGCGGTCAGGGAATGGGTCTGCAGGACCAGGGGCAGCCCTGTCCCCGGCGAGAGAAACAGTCGTCCGGGCCCGGAGATACACGTGTGGGGGTGAAATGAACGATCTGGGCAGCTGCCCGTTGCGGGCGTGGAAAATAACAAGCGAATAAGCCGGAGGCTCTCCGGGTGTTTCACCTGGAAGACGGTGAAAACTGCCGGACGGAGACCCCGTCCAGAGGCAAACCCTCAGCCCAGGCCCCCTGTCCAGGGCAGATCTGCTGATTCCTCCACTGTCGCTTGGAATGATGTCAGCCCCTGTGCTGGCTGCTGACCCCAAGGCCACCATGCTGGACCCAGCAGACCTAACTGATACAGAATGACGAGCGCCCAGACAGGACTTTCACTGTCCCTTTGGACTGTGAAACAAATACAAGGAACCCCGTACTGTAAGCATACTGCTGAATCGATTGCGTACTTATGCAGTTAAAAGGAAATTAGATTTGAATAGGCAAGGCGATGATAATTACGCGAATGGAACAGCAAGTCTTGTAATAAACGTAATGATATTCTAAAAGAGTGAATGTAGAAGATGTCTGAAAAAGAGAATTGAAGATCTGTCCTCAAAATGCACTTCTCTCCATATAGTCGTGCAATTCTGAACATTTGCAAAGGAAATATAAACTGGATTCACTCTACACATCTTTACAAGTTTGATAGAATTTCAGTATGTATTTTGAAAACGACTTTTTTATTTTATGTTGAGCCAATCTGAAATCGCCAGATGGATTTTTCCCTTCCCTGCTAACACCACTGACCCTTGCTCTGTTTTCCACAGGGAGAATGAAGGAAAACAGACAAGTTGCTCCAACACACCTACAATCCAGTCACTCATCTCTCTCCACACAGCAAGATCCATAATGTCTGACCGGAAGACTGGTGCTCTTCTCCCAGAACCTAACAAACGCCATCTTGATCACCACCGAACCCAATACCCACTGTGGAAACCACTGCACTACAAAATGTCTAGTGCATGAGACCTTGTCCCACACAAAACAGGATTACTGGTGTGCCAAGGCTGGGTTAGTTTCAAAGTAGTGAAAACATTTGCTTGCTTTCAGAAATGGTCAAAATTAGAGAGATGCCATACCACTGATTTAGGTTTAAACTAACAAGCTGCAGTTTTTCTGTAAATCTTGTGATTAAAAAAAAAATTAAAAACATTAAATATGTATTGTATATGTCTATTTACAGTACCTACTGCAAATAAAACTTCTACCGTATTTATTGCTACGACTTAACTCATCCCGGTTCCATTTAAACTAATGCCACCAATAAATCTAAAAAATCTAATTAAAGATTTTATCCACGGGTTAACTATCAAAAACCTATGCCCAACTGCAATTGCACTTTCCATGTTAATTCTGCAGTGTACTGGCATCTCTGTGAAAGTGTGCCAACATAATATTGCATCGGATTCGGCTTCCCATAGGCTCCACTTGTACAGGCCTCAAAGTCTGAGCACATCTTGGGCACTGTAGTCCACAGATTACTGGCTCAAAACTGTCATGTTGCTTGCTTATTTGAGACTACAATTAAGCAATTCTGAGCCAGTAGACACAGGTCTGGGCTAGAAGGACTTAAGGTCAGCCAAAATCCTGCAACAGTGACCCCAGGGCCTGCCGGGGAACCGTGTGCCTGCGGTATTATCAGTTGGAACGACTTCAGAATCCCCATCTGGTAGCTTGGCTTTCCTATTTGCAGTGTGCACGTGCAGTGTGGAAAGAACAGCTGGCCTGAACCTGTGCTTTTCAGAGCCTGTGTGCATGTTCCTGGCCTCTCCCCTCAGGTGGCCCAGGGCCCCTTGCGGTAAAACACAGAGGGACTCAACTGGCGATTGCAAAATGGGGAAGGCTTACAAAAGTCATTTCCATCTCCCAAATGGAAAACAGTGGTGTACTTCATCAAATCAGTAAATCCACAAAATGCTTGTCTTGAGATCCTGCTCATCTTTGCCATAATATTCTGTATTCCCAGATTCATCTGAGACTTTAAAACTCTTCTTTAAAGGTTATTATCAAGGAGTTAAAAAGATTCTGAACAGCACGATACAATAGATTAAAAAAAAATCACAGTACCAGGCTTTTTCAGAGCTTGCTATCCAGTATTTGGATTTGACTTTCTGGTGTTAATACCTGTCAATGTCATTGTACAGGAACCTGCTCCTCTCATAGAATTGTTTTAACTTGCTATTTGTATGTGACATTCATTTTGCAAAATGAAATACGGAAGAGTTACGGTAAGAGGACAGCTACAGAAAAAGGTATAAAAACCTAGCACATCATTTCAATTAGAATAAGGTGGCCACTACATCAATGGCACATGAGACACACAGAATCTGAGATTTACTGTTTAGCTTTTAATTCTTTAAGTGGTTTACCCACTATCTACATAATCCTAAAAGGCATATCCTATGACATTTTGATCATCTATTTCTTGGATTTTATGCACTCTTTAGTGATCCGGTATGATCCACAATTTCCCACTTTATGTGTGAAGTATCTCCAGATACTAATGCTCAGAGCATTCCGCATGGATTTCCTGAAGAGGGTTTAGGCCCAGGAAGAACTCTTCATACTAAACCTGTGATGTCTGTGGATGGCAGTTAGTTTCATTCCAGCTTTAACTGTTAATTACTAAAGTTTAGATGACCTAGTCTTTATAAACACAACAACTGCCATCATCCAGAAACAATGCTTTTGTATAAAACAAATTCCATTCCCATAACATAAACAACTGACTACTTCCAGAGTTATAATTACAGAAACACTGGGATATTTTGCTCCACAGACAAAACTTTCCACTAGCATGGAATATCCTCTGTATGTGTTAAGACTTTAAACCTAATGAAAATTAATATCTACATGGAGACATACAGATACTGTTTCAAAAACTGAAATAATTATTGTGTTCTATGCTTTGTCGTTTCACCCCAGATATAGCAGTAAAACTTTCTTTCAAGACACAATAAACATTCACTCAAAATCTATTTATCATGGGTCAGGCAAAATACCCATAAATCACATAAAAAATAAATACTGATAAAAAAATGGTCTTACTTCTGGAGACTTGCACCAATTCTGTTACATTAAAAACTCCTGAAGTCACAAAGCTTTCCTGAAATTCGGGGGCATCTGCAAGAGACAGAGAGGAGGTCACAACAGCGTCCCGCAGGAGGTCTCATGCTCACCAAAGACACCTGGCCTAGATGACACACCCACCCTCTTCATAATAATAATATAGTTGCTTGTTGATTACTTGATTTGTAATTTGAACAACAATAAGAAAAATATCAGCTCAATTAAATGATGAGTTGGATTCACATATCAGCACTTAAAATGGCTGAGGAAGACCTTAAGTATTGACTTTCCTTCATATAATATTTCAGGTTATTACAATTATATAATACATATACATATATTGAATTCTATGAACAGTTCTGTTTGAATTTAAATCAGTTTTGCAGTCAATCAGAATTGATATTCAAGACCTTAGCACGTTTTAAGCACATATTTTATCCCTCTCTCTTACCATGTGAATCAGTTTTGTTACACACAAAGCACTGATTACCCAACAAAAATAAGAAACATTACTGAGTTTTAATAGCCTATCACCTTGGTCAATGTCACACTCAACACGTCTCATAAAACACAACCATGATCTTTCGATGAGATTTCTTTCTGGTTCACATCATCCCGAACTTAGACTGATGTTTTAGGCTCCTTCAGGCTTCTGTTACCACCCAAGCCCTCATGATCGAGACCAAGGAACATGTGTCCTCTTACAGACTGTATGTTAAGCTGGTGCTGCTTTTCACAGCTCTGGAGGTATCTTTACTGGATAAATTGATAAGGAAATAGAAGCTGGGAATACACCTTTACTGGTGTTTATTGGCATCACAAAAATGCCACGTTGACAGAGACATTTAACACAGTTCCTACACTCTGCTGGGGTGAATAAATTGAATAGAACACAAGATGAAAATGAGACTTGAAATAAAATTCAGCTTTTCCATTGCAGAATCTCAGGAGTACATTTCTTCACACTATGCAACTTATAATTAAAACCATCTTCCCAGTCAGAAATAACTAAATCTCTGTATGTTCTTTAGTTATTTAAAAGCAGCTGTGGGTTGACTTAGTATTCTCTCTCTACAACCAATCAGACAAATGAGGGTTCCATTAAAATAGCAATAATAATATGAGTGTAAACACTTAATTACATCTTTGTGGAACTAGGGCTTCAGCCATATTAGAAGACACATATAGGAAGTAGGAAAACAATTCAAATATTAAAGTACATTAAAAAAGGAAGTCAGATGTTCATTGAATCTCAGATCATCCATACAAATATAATATCTGAATGCTAAATTAAACATCTAGTCGTTTTTTTTTAGAATTTAACATGTAATCTTCAACAGTTCAACCTTTTCTTCTGTCAAACTGTGTGGCAGTGCAGTGGAGTACTCAAACCAAATAAAAAAAAACAGCTCATGTGATAACCGAGGGAACTGAAACACTGAAATGGGTGTTTCCTAAACACTATTGTAGGTATTGACGTCTCTCACTTTAGCCTATAGATGCATACAGTAACTACTGCTCTCGAGAGCCAGAATAGGATGTTCTCTTTGTCTCTTTAAATCATTAAAAGCTGTACACCAATGATCAGCTCCATTACAGCAGCTCATTAAGAGAAGAGGTGGGACAAAAGTTTACCAGCTTTGTGGCCTTCCAGGACTGGAGTTGTGCATCACTGCTTTAGCCCAAATCAAGTTTATTAATAAGTGCAGTTATAACCTAAATCATAAAATGGCTAAACTCCTTGGTAGTTTCCAAGTGTGCTATGAAGGATGAGGTGAGAAAGTTAATGGAAAGCACAACCTCTGTGACATTAAATAAAGGAGAAGAGTTTAATCCTCACTTGCCTCTAAGCATCACCACATTCGAAATCCATTATTTACAGTTTCAGATTCCAAAGCTGTGTTGCTCTATGTAGCATAATCAAATCAGTTCCCCTTCCAGAGGAGTCAAACAGGCTCAGCATGGCAGTTTCATTTCTGATCAATATCTGCATGATGCAATTAAAATGCCCGATGAAAACTGATGGAATTACAAACTATGTGCCTGCAAAATATTTAGATTTCTACGGGTTCGGCAGTGTTGGTGAAGGTGTTGGACTTCATCCACAAGCCAATCTGCAAAATCGAAACAGTTTTGAAAAGAGGAAAAAACAAACTCATAGGACTTTCGATATAGCCATGAAGCTACTTTAAAGAAAGATATCTAGTGTAGGCAGGTCTTTGTAGATAAAGCCTGTAAAATGCTTAGTGTTTCCTGGACCAATCTATTGCTCTAGACTCCTGACACACTTAGCTATAACATGTCCACATCTACCCCTTTTATTGTTACTAGGAACATCTATACAAGTTTATATCATCATGATTATACATACCATCAGAAATATGCATTTAAGAGCTTAATGAGTCTATGTTTCCCTCCAGTGGGGGGAGCTACTTGTGCAGAGCAGGCAGTATGAGAGGATATGTTCATTTACATTAGGGTAGGAGGCAATTATGAAGCAAGTGCAAAATACAATGTACAACTGCAAAATTTTGAGAAATGCTCAACTTTGATCTATTTGTAAAAAGAAAAACAAATTGCAATATTAATGCAGAGTTTATTTTACGTTTTCAAAATCACAATGGGTTCATTCTGTATCGATCACAAAGCAAATAAAAAGTTTTATGACAAAAAGCATTTCCAGCTTCTCATAATATTAACAGAATGCAAACAACAATTTTAAGGATTATAACACAATAACTTATTGATTTAATTTTATATAATGTGCTGGTGGTAACAGCAGGCTGAAATGTGTGCCTTTATCTGTGGATCACCTCAGCAAAGCTAACATTTTTCCAAAGTGTTTTCTAGAACTTAATTTTCACTCTTATAAAATGGTCTCTGATTTTAAACTTGAGAATTATAGCAAACTCTCATTTCAGCAATGCAATGGCTTTTAGAGGAGTTCCCTATTCTATGCAAGGAGAAGTGGATTGCACTGCACTGCTCAAAGACATGAGCTGAATGCACAAACCCACTGGGGGAATTCTGTCATCTGCATCACTGATCGGAGAGTGCAGTTTACAGTAGATGTCTGCTCTTACTGTAAATGGCTTAGAGAAGCTACACAAATCTGCTGGCAGCACACCTCAGTAGTCAGAATTCCACCCTGCCTATGATGTAACTGTGGTTTTGTGGTAACTGCAAGGTAAAGAGGTTATAAGGGCTGATAACCCACTGTATCTCCCACTGAGCAGGTTTCACCCCAACACATCCGCCCACCAGTAAAACACAGAGCCTGCTTCCTGTGGCCACCTAACAGCCCTCCCAGTAACTTCCTCTCTGCATGACCTCTGCCCTCCCACTGCTTCCTGAGCTCAATGGATTGTGTATCTGTTCTGTGAACTCAGGGACTCACTAAATAACTAGTTCCCAAGACAGACCCTATATAAAGCTGTTTACATAGTTCTTTGTTTAACAGGGAAAGACACTTTGTTTTAACATTATGATTTTCTTTCTTTTAAATGGGCCTTCAATTTTTTACATACTCTTAGCATCACTGTAATGCTGAGCACAATGAAAGGTGACTCCTGGGTGTCTCAAATAATCAAAGGCCTCTCTGGTGTAAGAGCAGTTTGCACATTATAGTCTAGAATTCACTGCTTTGAATCTGGCCTAGAGCATGTCATCACGGCATTATGTGTCTAGAATTCCGCCAAGACACGTCACAACCACTGGGGTTGGGTGGCTCGAGAAATTAACTAGGATTAATTAAACTACAACATGCAACGCCAAACCCCATGGATTGCAAGGGGCCTGTGAGCTTGTGGTTCTGTCATAGCAATCCATGCTGTTCAAATAGTGGAAAAAAAGGGGCACACAGGAAGCAGTGCACATTTCAGGAGATGCATGGCCATGATGTCTACCTCTGTGGTGAAAGGGATTATAGTAGGGAGTCATGCTAATCATCAACTGGAAAATCAAAAACTGGTGGCTATAAAAACTATGTATATTAAAAGGCAATTTGTAAATGTTTATAAACCTTATCCCGCTCGGAGGTCTAGAAAACCAGCCCTGCTTTCCAAAAGCAAGTGCACTACAAAGGGGATATTTTAAGGCTCAAAGTGCATCATACTGTACATGTTTCAGCTTTATCTCAAGTAAAGGGAACAGAGCAGTTCATGTAACAGGACAGAGCTGACTCTGCACAATGCTTCAAGGTGCTTCAGATTGAGGACACAATCACAGTGATACACATCCAGAGGGAATTGGTATTTCTCATCAATTGTGAATAGCAGGGAAGTTAAACTACCAGAATGAAAAGAACCTTGCAAGTGGAAGCTGTAGCAATGAAAGTCCTGAGCAAAGGTATGCAAAACCTAAAACACATGAAAAAGCTCTGCATGTTTTTAAAAGTAAAAGGTAATTACTACTCATGTGCATTCAGACATTCTAGATTATTATTATTAAGATTATTATTGACACTTTGCATGGACAAGAGGGCCTTAACACTCTGGATATACTCTACAGGAGTCTTCTTCCTCTTCCTGCCCTATATGATGTTTATCGGATAACCTTTCTGGGATTATGTCTATAGTGTTACAAACAACATACTGTATATTATTTACTGTATACTGTATAGTGAGCAGAGTTGCTGGATTTGCTCTAGTCACTTTCATTAGCCTGCCAAGCACTTTCATACAGCAGTTTATCACAATTTGTCTTTAAGGGGATGTGTGACTGAAAGCTGATTAACAAATGGAAGATTGAGAGAACAGGTTTGTGGTGAATGCTCAAAACTGAGGGTGATGTAATTAATGAAGTACCTCAGGGATCTGTACTAGGGCAACTGCTCTTTGGTTACTGATACTATACTTAAAACTATACTCTAGTTTTTAATAAAATTTATTAGCCAGATTCACAAGTGATGCTAAAATAGGATGATGAGCAATCACTACAGAAGCTGCAAAGGAAATTCAAAAAGACTTGGAAAATAATTTACGCACATCCAGAGACAATATGTTAAAATTCAGTGCAAACAGTGCAATAGTGAGACCACATTTCTTACATTGTGTACAGTTTTCGTCACAATACAAAATTGATAATGCTACTTTGGAATAAGTCCAGAGAAAAGCAAAAATGTAACATCCCCAGAATTAAAGGAATGCACTTAACTGACAGTCTAAAATAACTGAAGCTCTTCAGTCTTGAACAGAGAAGATCATGTTAGAGACGTAATTCATTCCTGTACTTTTAGACTTCTACAGGCTCACCTTCTTCACCTAAAGAGGGCTCAACAGCCCAAACATAGTGGAGTTTTTTCTTCTCAGCTTGGAATTAACCTTCACGTGTTCTTCTGCAGCCAATGCACGCTGACGCAATTCACTACTCGAACTTCCATATCACATCACTCAATTCTGCAAGGAATTAACCTTTACTTGCTCCACATTTTGTCATTCATTTATGGGTTTTGGTGACACAGAAGCCTCTACACCTTTATTTTATTTTGCAATGGTATTTTCTAGCCATATCATAATATTTCTTGAGGTTCTTTCTGTACACACCTCAGAATGAAGTGTGCTGTTCCTGACTGTGGGTAGATGTTGATGGAAGGCAGTGGCGCTGTGCTGGTGTGTTGAAGGTGCAGATGTCTGGGGCTACGGAAAGCACTCTTACCCATAGTGGCTGTTTTACTGTCCTCCTGGTCAGAACCAATCCCTGTTCTTGGACTGCTACTCTGTTCAGACTCTGAAAGAAGGAAAAAACAACAACAAAAAACACTTCAATATCAAACGCACTGGAGTATTTACAATCAAATGTTAACAGGTTCTCGTAAACGTGTTGAGATTTCACCAACATCTTCACATAGTGAATAATCCCCGAATCAAACGGCGTAGTCCATTTATTTCCAAATGAAGAGCTCTATTCAGGTCACCGCCAAGTCACCTCAGAAGTGAAAGGCATCCGAGTTTTCACATGCCCTTTGGTGCTCGAAGATCTGCTGTCCATTAAGACTGCCGTTAAGCGAGAACAAAATCACAGCCCCCGATTGCTTGCATTACAGTTGTGTTCAAGATGTCCTTAGAAACCACCAGCCACATGCGTGGTCATGTCCCAGAGGGTGATTTAATGATCGAAATGATCAAAGACAACAGTTTTTTTCCATTGTAAAGAACAACTTTGTCTTGTCGGTAGTTATTTCCCAATATGAAAAGTGTGAAAATTTAGTAAAATTTAGTTTAGTAAAACATAGAAAGACAATACATAGAAAGATAATTCCTGCAACTGTATTTACAGACAACCCTGTATGTTTTCCTTAAACCTATTTTTTCGGGTCTGGACAGTACTTGTACACTGTCAGCTTGACTTAGGAAAGTGGCTACAATGAGAACCCACACACACCAAATGTATGCATGGCGCAGGAAAGGGTTAACCCGAGTCTGCACAGGGACGGAGACTGCTGGTTTTCTGAGGTTGTGCACGAGTGACCGGCCTAGTGCTCTGCAGAGCACAAGCAACTGATCCTTCCCAGAGGATAAAAATAGAAGGCAGTGAGAGTGTCAGCAGAAAGCCAAGGCCACAAACTGGTATGAAAGGGAAGGCCAGAAGAGTGCAAAAACAGCTGCCGAGGAGAGGTTTTTTTTTTTAACCGGGATGTTGCTGTTGTTGTTGTTGTTAGTCTCACGCCTTGGCTGAGAAGGGGGGACATCTGCCAGCGCGTCAGTCAGTCTTCGGCTGGCAGGGGATGGAAGATTGAGTAAAGCAGGCAGCCTCCCACGGACAGCTGAGAGAGCGCCAGTTATCCTACAGGCAGGACGCCCTCTGCAGTGGCAAAGAATAAGGGGGCCGAGTCTGGACAGCTTTGTTATTAAACACAGTCCCTTCAGCGGCACACTGTAGCATAGCCTCTGAGGTTCTGGGACACCTATTAGAGTGGTTCAAACAATATACAGTATAATTAAGGCAGAGCTTCAATTCTAAATATATATTTTCTGTATCTCTTATCTCCAGCCAACCTGTACTTCCATATCTTGCTCCAGTCAAGCTGTCAAGGTCCAGACTTTACTAAAACGGATCTTAAAATACAGCTTGGTACACTACAGTTTTTTATACGAGCAAATGCTTTACCATTAAGGTACACCCCAACACACAGATACACTCCCAGAGGCCGTGGAGATGCATATAGAGTCTAATCTGCCAATTTAATTCTTGTTGAAACAGGCATCACACAATCGCTTTCAAATTCTGACCTCAGTAAAAAAAAGTATCGCACTGGGCCCCGTTCACCATCTAATTTCTGTAAAGACAAAATTCTACCGATGATAAAAAGAGCCATATATTTGCTCAAGATGTGAAAAGACCAGAATTGCAAGTCAGGACTTGGGGCTCTGCTAGTGCAGAACTCAGACTTGTCTTTTGTTTTAAGCTGAGAATCTAGGGTTGCTTCCTCCCAAAAGAGCGCAAGATGCAAGGCGGGGACAGCCTGGGTTTGATGGCGCCAGAATAGTTTCACCACTAAAATGAGCCTGGGCAGACAGCAAGACCAGAGGAAGCACAAGTGACTGAAGGTCAGCTCACAGCTCAAGGCTTGGATTGTGCGTCTTCTCCAGGGCTGTCAAAGAGACTGACCAGGAAAGCATGCCTCCTGTTCTTCACAATGTACAGTATTGTGTGTGTGTCTGTCCGCCTGCTTATCCGCAGACTAGAATCTGTTAAAAGACACTGGTTGCCTGCCAATCCACAAACACTCACAACACACACATATTGGTCAGTCCTGTGACAGATTTTGTTTGAACTGGCACCTACAGTATCATGACACCTCAGGAGCAGCACACAGATCATTAGCAAACCTTACTTTCCTTAGCAAATAAGCAAGCTAGATGGGCCTAATGGCCTCCTCTTGTTTTTAACTCTGCGATGCAACAAAGACAATTATTTTCCTCAAAATCATTGGAAGCAACATGGCATCTCAACTGGATAAATCGTATTTCCGTGATACAAACCATTAAAATTCCTGAGAAGTGGAATAGCAAAGGACCAGGAGAGGTGACATTAGAAGTATTATTTCTTTCAGGGATTTCAAAGACTGTAGATTGCAAAAGGCACTTTTAAGTTGCAGTTCTACACAACCAATCAGTGTAATTCAAATCAATTTAATCAAAAGATTATTTAAATTTGGCAGTTCCATGTCGTCTTTCCTCTCTACTGCAAGCCCTTCCCCCTTAGTGCAATCTAAAGCATCTCTGAAAACATTTTTTCCTGCAAAGTAAAATCCCATCTCCCCGAGCGGCGCTGGCTGGGCAAGCAGCCCTCGGAGGGGATCCAGGCGGCGAGAGGAGAGAGCGAGAGAGAGACTGGGAGCAAGGGCACAGGCACACGGAGCACAGCCCTGCACTCCGTCAACAGCCCCGCGCCTCACTTCGTTACCGCGCACGGGGAAAAATCCGCCACAACCAAGAACAAGCCAAAACGCAAAACAAGAAAAAAAACGTTGGGTTGGAAAAGTGCTCAAACTGCTCGACGGACACCGAGACACGCGGCGTGCTTCATTTCTCGATCATTTCCGGGCTTTTTCCGAGTAGCCCCCTGACTATAAGTAAGACAAAAACAAATCTGGAGGAACCCGCACCACTGGATGATGTCAAAACAGGAGCTGTATCCGACAGCCATTTTCTATCAGGAGTGGGGGGGATGGGGCAGCCATTTTGTGTAGTGGTTGATCTTAACAGACATCTAGGGGAGGATATTCCTTCTGCTTTCGGCGTGTGAATCCACAGCCCTTTGCTGAGTCTCTGCACAAACGCTGCTCGCTGGCCAGTTTAAGCACGGGAGGCAAAGAGGCCGCTGGTTTCACCAGAACGTTGCTCCACGGCGTGATATTCCTGCGTCTTCTGAGAACTGTTCCTTCATGTGCTTACAGAAACACTGTGCAGGAGATGTGGCAACTGGTATTGTCATTTCTTTGAAATAAATGGTCCCCAACACCCTCCCCTGCCTCTCGCTTATTCCACGTACTGTAAATAAACTTTTTTTGTTTGCTGTTTCTATTTTATTTTCACGCGAGTGTTCTTTGGCTCAGGTCTGCTGAGCGCCAGAGTTTTTTTGGCAGACATTTCATGTGCGGAGGAGAGTGCAGCTGGCAGCCATTTTCTATTGCTCTCTCTCTGTCTACCCCCCCCCCCCTCCTTCAGAGCAGGAGAATATAAAGTACTGCCGGCCCTGTAGAGGAGTGCCAACATGTCCATGTGCCAAATCACCCCCTTCAGAAGAAAAAAAGAAAGGGAGAAGAACGCCAGCTAAGAGTTGGCAGAGAACATTGCTGTGAAATGACCTAACGTGAAAGACATTCCAGTGGAGTAACTCAGGAATTAAGCTAGTAACAGCTAAATAGCAACACAGGAAATGTTTAAAGGCACAGTTACAGAGGTTCCCTCTTATCTTTAAAGCTGTATATCTGGATGGCACAACCCACCTTAAAACTTAAAAAACCCCAGCCCACACACACACGCGCACAACTGGGTTCGCTCGTTATCTGCAGGCTTCACAAGATTTTACAGACTTCTTGTTAAACTCTGGGAGCGGTTGTATTTAGAGTCTGAATAAGTACACACACACAGAAATTCGGGGAGAGGAGGAGAACCACCTCGCTGTATGTCAGATCGTTAAACTCATATTAAAAATTATTTGGGTTTTGCATTTCAGCCTCCAAGTCGCTGCACAGTCCCCTTCTTCTATCTGTATGAAACGAATGAAAGTTTTATCCAACCTTGCATCTTAAGGCAGTTCTACACCGTTATCCAGCTCCAACACAGTATTTGCCAGCAATCCGGGTTTACTTAATGCGTGCTTTCATCTGTACTGGGGTTAAATAAATGTGCTGAACATCAAGCTCTGCTGGAGAGCTAATAAACTGGCATATATGAATGGCAGCAGAATCTCATCCTTCAGGCCAGCATTTCCTTTGCTCTCGGATCTGGAACCCAGGTGCTTTCCTCACGGACAGACGTCTGTGTCTCTCGCACTCCCCACAGCGCCGACTGTGCTGCCAAGAGGAGCGTGGAGGTGTCGGCCGCAGCCCTGCCAAGTCCTCTCTGAACAAGGCGCACCGCAGTACGGTGGCATCACCCTCGCAGCAGCGCTGCTGCCCTGGCTTGGAAAGCCTCACAATGAGCCAGCGGCCTCTACACAAACTGCGCCCCCCTCTCGTGGCACTGGGGCGGCAAGCGAAAAACATGCAAAGCCTTAACAAAGTGAAAAATGAATGCAAATACTGTATGTTGAATAAACGCAGTGCAATCAATCCAACTGTGTCAATACAAAAAGGGCATTAGCAGAAGGAAACAGCACTGCGGATAAAAACTTTTTCCGGGGCTCTAGGCTGTAATCATGCTCAGTGTCCCCAAGTGTGACAAGTTGGTCATTCTCAGTTCAGCCACAAAACAAAGTCACTTTTATATCCCAAGCCCTGCACAGTCTGCCAGTGTCCTGAAGGGGGCAGAGTTAAAGTCAGCACAGCTCTGTAGGTGCAGAGCTCCTTAAAAAAATAAATAACTCCAGAGATCCTGCTAGTCTTTGTTTGAAAAACACAATCTGCAATTTGTTTGTTACATTAATGAGGCTCTTGTACTTCCATTGCTGCAATATTCTTTAAGACACAGCTCTGTCGGAGAATGGCACATAAAACCTGAAACATTAGTTATCAAATCTTACTTTAACACTGAATTCATGTCACTGTGTAACCTAAGTCT